CCCCAAAACCCCAAAACCCCAAAACCCCTAGACTGGTTTTTACTTAGATATTAAGTTATATGTTAGTTAAATAAGAATTTATTTGGACAAATCATTGATTTATCTTATGTATTTAGCTCAGAGTTGAACTTGGTTTAGGGACTCATAGTAGTTTGAATTGTGAGTCTAGTTGATTGTATTGTTTACCTCAGGATTAGCTTCTTTTTCCTCAGGTTTGGGGAACTTATCGTTGATCAATTATTCGAGTCTGTCGATTCTGTATTCAACAAGGTCCTTTACTTTCTCAACAATTTAATCAACTTGATCCTCCTCATCTCCTCCAGAGTAGTCAATTGCCTTTGTATAGAATAGATAGTAGAATTCATCACGGTAGTGATGTCTTTGGAAGAATTACTTGAAGAAGTAAACTAACTGTTCCATTTCCATTTCCATCTCAGCAAGTGATCTAGCATCAGCAGCTTTAGAATTTTCTTAAATCTTAGCATAAGCATCGGACATAATAGCAATCAGCAAATTCATCAATACAAGAGGAATTATAAATGAGAAGAGAGCGAAGACAAAGAACTTAACGACCTCAGCCTCAGCAAAATCTCCTAGTTCTCCGAATGATAGTACATAGCTTGATCTTAAAAGGTGAATGAAGTTTGAATCTTTGCTAATAGATTAGTTGATTTAGGCATAAGCGAGCATTGCAATAAGTAAAATTGACATAAAAGTTCTCAGATTCCAAATACACTCGAATATCATCTTTATCAAATATCTTAATGGCTTGAACACTTGGAGATACTTGATTACTTTGATCCAGACAAAGGAGAACATGATTGCAAGTGTTTACTCTCCTAATTTGAAGTCACTTCTTTCGGTAAAGATGCAGAAATAAATAAGGAAGATTCTAATGATATCAAGCCAGTTCCAGAAGTCTTTGAAGTACTCCTTCTTCTAAATGATCATTTAGAGCACTTCATAAGAGAGGAACACGGAGGTCAAAACAATAGCAATAGTTCCTAGGAGGTACACTGCAGCATCATTTTCTAGCTCAAAGAATGCAATGAGAACTCCTAGCAATCCAAGATATAAAGCTAATTGAATCAGGAAGAACTTCTAAGCATACGAATCCCACTTTCTTTGGAGGACTATAGTTATAGAATCTTGTATAACTACTTCATCATTCTCAAAATCTCTAATTTTACCCAAGAGATCTACACTCGCCTTAGAAAAATCTTAAGGCACTGGGTTATTAATGATTTTAGTTGAAACAAGATAGGTATCCTCTGAATCGTCATCTATGTCTTTGCCGTGAAGATTATTTGCAACAGTTATGGAATAGATAGGTGTGGTAGACTGGCAGTATATTGTTTAGTCCTTACTTATTTCATAGTTCTTTGGGATTGCTTACTCTGTATTGAACTGTTAAGTTAATGGAGTGTAAGCACCAATCCTTTTAATTAATTCAGCTAGGTCTGGAGTATCTTAAGTCAATAATTGGTTCAAAGGAATCATCTACATTATTAATGAGGCTTGTTCTGGATCAATAACAAGAAGACCCTTGAATATAGAGTTGATACTAGTGAGATCTTGACTCTTAATGGCATAGTGAAGAGGATTCTTGGAGAAGATATCATAGGAAAACTTAACTCCAATCAAGAAGCAGTACTCAATGGCAAGATTATTACCCGAGAGAGCGAACCAATGAAGGGCATTTAGTTTGAAGGGATAAATAGTCTGTAGCAAAGTTGAGTCATCCTTTCTCTCAAAAGCTGAATTGTACATTAACCCAAACGAAGCAGTGCTGTAATTTGGTCCTCCTCCAATGACTGGGATAAATGTTCCATTCATTGACTCAAAGCCGTTGTTAATGAAGTCCTAGTTGCTTTGCTCAAAGGAGAGATATGGTAAGTTCCTAACTAAGATCTTATCTTCTAGTTACATGAGGAATAGTTTATTGGCTACACACCAAGCTGTATTATGTGTGACTAATTCTCCTTTTTGAAGCTTCTTATCAACTGCATCTTTCTTCAAAGGCATTGTTACAGCCATTTCAGATTAATTAACTGTGTCATAGAATACGATCTTGCTATCCTCAGATTCAAATGCAATCATATCCTCGTTAATTAAAAATTGGATTTTTGACCAAGGTGCAGGAACTTTATCAATGGTGAATAATACTTTGTGAGTTAGGATATCAAAAGCTTTCAATGATTCCTCTCCAACTGCAATAAACTACTTTGAATCTTAGAAGAATTCTAGATCAATTGCAAGATCATCATATTGAATCTCATCAATTACTTTACCGAGTTTGGCGTGTCTGATTTCAATCTTATTGAGCTCGTTTGAGAGAACTTAGATAGTTCCATCTGGAGATAGAGCCATAGATCTAATGTTAATCATATTCTCTTTGAGTAGTCCATCGAAGTCATAGATATTCATCTGATAATTCCAAAATGGTCCAAAACATATGTAGATTTCTTTAAGTTCAGTTGACACTTCAATTTATCTAATCTCTTAAATTTCCTCAATATTTAGATTGATCTCTCCAGAAGCAACTTAGTTCTCATGATCAATGGATATTATTTATATCTCCACATCGTTTTCCTTCGTGAATGCAAGAATAAGATGATTTGAATCGTTTGTAAACTTCATCTTTTGATAAGTGAACTCTTCTTTAAGGTTTGAGAAGGAGCCTACTTTGGCAATTTTATCAGTATTATATATATGGACACTAGTATGAGTTGCAACTGCGAATGAACGGCCGTCTCTAGATGACTGGGAATCATATATCTCAGTCTCCTCAATGTGAAGATCAGTGTCTGTTTATTTCCAATCAATAACTCTGATATAACCATCCTTGTCTAGAATGATTAGCCATTAGTCGTTCTCAGAGAAGATAAGTTTCTTCGCTTCAAATTCAGTTCTAATGAAGAAATTTAACTCGAAAGTATTATCATAAATGGCGACTCCGTTATCTCCTGCTAATGCAAAGAAGTCTTGAGTAGATGAAGCAGATATGCCTTAAATTTTCCCGAGAAATTCAACTTCTTGTATTTTAATGTTCTCTCTACCTTGGAATACCTCGAAGCTAGATGTTTTTTATCTTTCATTAAAAAGTGCAACAATGCACATATCTTTTAGAATGATGAGACCCTATGTTCTAGTCTTTTTATCTTTGTTTAAAAGATTGTAGGTATTATCTTCCCAGAACAGATTTAACTCCTTCTTATGGTTAGAAGAGTAGTAAGTTTGTCTATCTATAGCTCCAATGAAGCTAGATCTTGGCTCCTTGCCCTCATGAATTGAACGCTGGGATGATAGGCTTAGATCAGTTAAATTAATGGCCTTTACATCTCCTTCGAGATTACCGAAGAAAGCAAGGTCGTCCTCTTAATCAGTTTAGGTTACATCCAAGCCATAGGTCTTTTTCCCAAACTCTTTAAAAATGAGCGCTGGGTACTCTTCAGCAGATTCCATGAATCCCTCTATGTTGAATATAGCGAATCCCTTCTCTGCAGTGACTAAGAGTTTGTGTTCAGTGATCTTAATTTGCATGACCTTGCTATTTAGTTTGTTCCAAGATTTCTTCTCCTTAGTCACGAAGTTAAAAATATAGATTCTTCCAGTGTTATCACCCACAACTATCTTGTCTTATTAATAGTTGCAGATGTTCTAAGAAGGAGATAGTTTCTCATCCAATAGTCTAATCTTCTTCAGTCTTCTACCTTTCAAAAGTTCCCTCCCATTCTTAACATCTTTGGAAGTGTCTCCAATGAAGGGTTATTTATCAGTCTTAGTGACTTCATCTTTCAAGAAAAACTCATCGAAGTAATCTTCTTTATGTTTAATAACATATGGTCTTTGTGCGATAGGTTTCATAAAATTTACTAGATATTTTGCAAAAATGCTAATCTTTTTAGAATTGAATACTAAATTAATAATGTGTATTCACAGCTAATACCCAATTAGCAATTAAAAGAAGTTAGCTAAAAAGAGACAATATTCAATTATTAATGCACATTAATAATAGTTAAGATCAGAATACAGCAATTAATATTCTAATTTAATTACTTTAATTTGTGACTGCTTATTTCATCACTGCATAATTAACTTATCCATTATGTATTTTGTCTGAACCTCAAATTATCGAAGCTTGGGGTTTTGGGGTTTTGGGGTTTTGGGG